GCCGAACCCTGACCCCCACATCGCCCTTGCAGTAACTCTGCCGAGCGCTGCAAACTTTGCCCCGACCGCCCAGGGCTGTTCCTGCCGTCCCGGTCCCATCGGCCGCCCGAGGGGATCGGGTACGGACGGAGGGACCGGGGGCCGGGGCCGGGGCCGCCCCGGTGGTCGCAGGTCTCAGGGTCTCCAGCAATCGCTTTTTCCGACTCTCTGAATTTTCCCACTCGAGACTGAAAATAAAAGGATGGTTCCCGTAAGTGGCACACGCCGGACAGATTCATCCCCGCTCGGCATTGTCCGTGCCACGGTGTTTCTTCCGAAGCCTTCACCCAAAAATTTTGTCGTTTTAAAAGGCAGAATCGCCGGATTTTACCCAGCGGGCTGTTCTGAAGGGCTACCTAAGCTTAAGAAAATGATATTTCAGGTACATTAAAACAAAACAAACCAAAACAAACCAAAAACAAAATAAACCCCCCCACCACATACTTAAAAAAAAATCTCAACAGAACAACAGGGCTTCTAATTTCCAATTGTATATTGAGTCGCTGAGAAAAGAGGCGGCATTATTTGTAGTAATAATCTATTAACCGGATTTGGGAGGAATTTTCAGCAGAAAAAAAATATTACGGGGACGCTCTGTGAATTTTCGCTCTCCCGAGGAAATACGGGGGGAAAAAAAGATATATGCGAGCTTTTAAAAATTGTTTTGGAAAACAAAATCGCCGGCGCTTTTATCTCCTCTGCCGTGGGACATGGAGATGAGCCGGCGCGATTTTATTTCTCAACGCCCGCTGGAGTTTGGGTTTCCCCCTCCCCAAAATAACGCCCGGTCCAGCCCAGGTGCCCTCTCCCCTCCCGGTTCTTCCCGAAAAGAAATAAACCGCCGAGGCAGAAAAAAGCCGTTTTGTTGTTTTTTTTTTTTTTTTTTTCCTAGAATAAAAATCGGGCTTATTTGCAAGGCAGAAAAAAAAAATCAATTGTGTTTATTTTCAAGAACAAAAAGTGCGTTTCTTTGCAAGAATAAAAATCGGGTTTATTTGCAAGACTGAAAAGCCGGTTTCTTTGCAAGAGCGGGGACCTGCTGCGTTGGGAGGTGTAGGACGGAAGGTTGTGCCGCGTCTCGGGAGGACGCAGAGAAAAGGGGGTGATTTCCCGCGGAGTGACCCCTAAATGGGGCTGGGGGTCATTCCCCAGCGGGACCCCCTGGGCTGCGGAGCGACCGCTGCGGGGGGCGCCGGGGGGCCGCACCCAGCCCCGCACCCGGGGCAGCCCCGGCGCTTCCCCCGCTCCCCCCGTTTTACCGCAGCCGTGCGAGGATTTTGGGGGGGAGAAGGTGATCGGGAAGTTCCCCCCACCCACCCGCGGAGGGTGGATTTCCCCCCGGATGCTTTTTTTCCTCGCCCCGCGGCCCGTTGCAGGCTGCTTCGCCTGTCTTTCTCGCAGGGGCGGGAGTGCGGTTCCCCCTTCAACGAAAACCCGGGGGGGTGATGGCAGGGCTAGCTGCGGACCCCCCCTCGCCGCACGGCGCCCGGCGCGGAGGGGAAGCCCGGCCGAGGGAGGGTTCCCCCGTTTCAGCTGCGAGCGGGGGGCGGCAGCCTTCCCCGCACCCCCCCCTCGGCCGTGGGTGCGGCGGGATGCACCCCACGGGTGCTCGGGGAGCGGGTACAGCCGATGCGTGCGGACACACCCCGCTCGGGTACACACACGCGTGTACGGGGTCACACACAGATCCCATGTACACACCGCCAGGTCGGATACCCGCCGCTGTGGCACACCCACCCGTGTGGGCACACGGGTACTGGGAGGGGGGAATGCAAAACACGCGTGTGCGGGCACGCACGGGTCGGCACATGCAGAGGTCCCGGACACACCCGTGTCTACACACGGACACCAGACACGCATCCGCCGTCTGCAAACGCTCCCCCGCAGGCTGCACCCCTGCTGCCCCCCCAGCTCCGGGAGCCGCGGGGGACACCGCAGCCCGGGCCGTGCTCCCCCCCCTGCACCTCCTCTCCCCAAATTCACCAGCTTTCCCGCTCCCTTTCCCCACTCCACCCACCCCACGCAATTAAAGGCGGTGGCGGAGCAGGGCTGCAAGAGGCGGCGGCTGAACGGTAAGGGCCCCCCCCCGCCCGCTCCCTTCCCCTGCACAAGGTGAAAGAAAACAAAAATAGGTGAAAATACAGAAATAGCCCCAAAAGAGCGCTGCCCGAGGTTTGGCTTTATTTATTCCTGCGTGTCTTTGCGCCCTGCAGCCCCGGGCCAGGGTGGACGAACCGGGTACGTGGCGGGGCAGCCCCGGTGGCGGCTCCGCGGGCCGGAGGGGTGCGGGGAGAGGTGATGGGGGTCCCCCAGCCCGCGGCGGGGGGCCCGGGGAGCCGCAGGTGCTGCTGGCGGGAGACACCAGCAATGGCTGTTTGGGTGTTGCATTAAAGCACGCTGCAGTGCGCACACAGGCGGCCCCTCCCCCCCCCCCCCCCCCCCAATCTGCCTGTATGCTAATGACATGCAAAGCGACTCATTTGCATGTTTATCTCTGTCAATGGGCAAGCGTGGCGGGCGAGGTAATACGTTTCCCACTGTGGCACGGAGGCCTCCCCCCCACCCCGCGCCCCTCACCACCCCACCGGGCCGGGGAGGGCTGAGCGCACCTCCGGCCCCACCGCCCCGCCCTGGCACGACGGCAGGCACTGCCACAAAATGGCTGCCGGGGGGGGGGGGGGGCGCCCTGAGAGCCGCCCGAGCGCCCACCTCTGCCCCCCAGCAGCCCCCGGCCCACCCGTGCCCCCTCCCCTCAAACCCAGCGCCGGATTTTGTGCTTAAACTGCCAATCGGGGCCGCAGCACCCTTCCCCCTTCCCTCTTTCTCCCCCACCATCCCTCCTTTTCCACCCTCCATCCCTCCTTCATCTCTCCCTCCATCCTTCCTTCTCTCATCTCCATCTCTCTTTATCCCACCTTTTCCCCTTTTCCACCCTTCATCCCTCTTTCTCCATCCTCCATTTCTCCTTCTCTACCCTTCCTCCCTCCTTCTCCCACCTCCATCCCTCCTTCCCTCCATCCTTCCTTCCCTCCTTCCATCCCTCCATCCCCTCCTACATATCTCCTTCTCCCTCATCCATCCCTTTTCACCTCCATCCCTCTCCCCTCTCCATCCCGCCTTCCCCACACCCAGAGCCAAATCCTCGCTGTTTCCACGCGTGGAGGTATTTCTGATTTCCTGCCACCCGGGGGAAAAGTCTCTTCCCTCCTTCCGAGGGGCTTCGATGCCGGCCCGGGCACTGAGACCCTGGCAACTCATGACCACTGTGGGTCCACCAGCACCCTGCGTGGCCCCCGGTGGGCGCGGAGCCGCGGGTGGGCGCGCCGGGGGGCTGGGCCCTCGGTTCCTCTGCTGAGGGGGGTGAAGGGTGTCCACGGGCACTAGTGAGGAGAAGCAGCCGTGGGTACACTCACACGTGTGGGCCCACAGATGGGACTGATGTTGGAGGCGCTGGTGCGGGTGTCGATTTTTTAAATGGTCACCAAAAACATAATAATAATAATAATAATAATTATAATAAATAATAAAGCAGTCTCTCCCACCGCCCCAAGGTGCGCCCACACCGCTGTTTTCAATCATGCCCGTTGAAGCGCGGGGCTCTGTTCTGGGGAGCGGGGTGGGGGGGTGAGGGGGCGACCCCCCGTCTGAGCGGGGATGCGGCGACCTCACCGCACCTTCGGCGGGGACACGGCACGACACAACCCCACGGGGCGTGGGGGCCAGCGGAAAACCCCGGGGACGGCGCACGGCTGTAATGCCATGCAGCGACACATACGCTCCATACTCTCTCTCTCTATAAAACCCACGTATATTATATGTTACGCTATAATTTATGATGCCGTATTATACTACACGATGCTGCATGACGCGATGCGATGTGACAGCGCAGGACCCGAGGCACGGCCCCCCCCGCAGTGTCCCCGGGCCGGCAGCACACACCCGCGGGACCGCCCCGCCCCGAGGCGCAGGTGAAGGGCGCCCGCCTCGCCGCGCTGCGTTTGGGGACGGGTTTCGGGGGAGCCGCTCCTGCCTCCCCACCCCTTCCCCGTCCCCTATCAGCCTCTTATCCCCCTCTTTTTCCCTCCCCCCTTTCTCCCGAATCTTGCTCTCTTCCCCAGTGAAGGTGTTCTCGCTCCCTCCGTCCCTTGTCTCTATTTTAACCGCGGGGGTGGGGGGGTGGGAGGGGGGAAGGCTTATTCCCTCTCCTCCACCCGAAATTATTTTAGAAAAAAATTAAATCAACCGAAAACCCAAAGCTGCCAGTCTGTGCCCGAGGCCTCCGGGCAGACGCGGCCCCCCCGGACCCGCCCTGCCCCGACCAGTTTATCCCAGCACTGCCCTGCCGCAGGTTTTGGGAGGGGATTTATCTGGAGCATCAGCCAGCCCCCCCCCGGCACCCTATGGCCTCCCCAGCCGCGTGTATCGCACCTATGGAGAGGGCGGTGTGCCCCCAGCAGAGATGCTGCCGCTGCTCCCCCGGGGGGGCGGAGGGTTGCCCCCCCAAAACCCCGTGCCCCACCCTGTCTCGTGTGGCAGTGGGCCCGGGGGTGTCGGTCCTCGGGAGTCCCGGGGGTGCCGGCCCGCTGGGGTCCCCCTCAGCCCCCCGGCCCGCTCCCGGGTGGGTGTTCCCCTCCCGAGGAGGGCGGAGAGAGGCAGGCCGGGGCAGAGGCAGGTTTGGGAAGGCCCCCTCCCCTGGCTTTCCGGCTGCCCCCGCCAGGCAGTGTCCCCCCCCCGCACCCCGGCCCGGGGAGGGTCCGCACCCCCGGGGGAGGCCGGCTCGGGGCTCCGCATCACCGTGCCTGGGGCAGGGCTGGTTTTGCGGGAGGATGCGGGACCCCTTGCAGAGATACACACACCCCCCCCTTTATAGCCCCCCCCCCCCCAAAACCTGCTGTGCCATCGCGCCCCGCAGCAGAGGCAGCCCCCCAAAAGCAAATGGGGGGGGGGGGCTCTTCCCTTACCTGAGCGCTGGCCCGGGGGAGCCCCGGCGAGGGGGAGTGCTGGATCCGGCTCGTTTTCTCCCGCCGTGTACCGCAGCAGAAACTTCCTCCGGCCGGGGCCGGTGCGGAGGAGCCGGGCTGCGCCGGGGGGACCCCGCGGCCGGGGAGAGCCGCACACCCCGGGCCGTGTTTATATGTAGAAAGAAGGGTAATTTGAGTGCTTATACCAAGAACCGGGGTTGTTAAGTTTGCAGGCAGGCAGCTAAACGGTGCCAAGTGCGGGCGGGGGGGGGGGGGGGGGGGGTGCGGGGGGGGAGGCTGGGGGTGTGTAAGAAATAAAGAGCAATTGTCAGAGGCGAACAAAAGGCGGAGGATGGAAAGGAGCTGGGAATCCCGGGGCAGAGCCCCTCGGCGTGGACTTGAACTTGGGCTTTGACACCGTCTGCCAGGCGGAGAGCGGCTCCGGGCCGGACGAGCCGGGGTGCGGGGGGGGCGGGAGGGGGGTGTAACAACAGCATCGGTGGCGGAGAGAGGGGGCATCACCCCCCCCAAACACCCACCTTTGCGGGCGGAGGGCGGGGGCGGTATTTTGCTTCAAAATGCGAGTGATCCGGGGAATAACCCAGCCGGGCTGAGAGCCGACGGACTCAGCGCACCTCCCGATGCGGAGGGGGGGGCGGCGGCGGGGGGACCCCGTCGGGGCTGGCCGGGGCAGACGGTCGGGGGGGCCGCCCGGTTCTCACAGTCTGCGCCCGAGCCTGGATTCTCTGCACGTCCCGGCCGGTCCCCCCTTTGCTACTATTCAGCACTTAATTGAACATTAATGGCAGCTGGGGATGAGGTCATTGGAGCCGGCTTTTCTCACACATTTTTCATGCAAATCCGCTAAACTCTAAACAAATTTGAATAAAACCCCCTTTGTGCGGGCCCTCCATGGTGTTTTTCCACGGGCTGCTCCGCCTGTCTCCGCACACTTCATCCAGGGAGGGGGGAGCGGCAGGGAGATGAGGGGGTGTGGGGGGGTCCCCACCCAGGCCTGGAGCACCAGGCAAAGCCGCGTGTGACACCCAGAGAGGCTGTGTCCTCTGCGGGGCTCCCAAATCCAGACACCCCACCCCCCACCCCCGGATGCACATTGCACAAGCAGGGCCCCGCATTGTGCCATCACCTTCCTTTGCATTCCGCCCCCCCCCCCCCCCCCCCATATCACCAGTTCCCCCAGTAATATCCATTAGCAACGCCAGTTCCCCCTTGTAACACCTCGATAGCACCAGTCTGCCCCCAGTAGCACCAACCCTCCTGCAAGTAACACCGATCCCCCACCATAATACCAGCCCCTCCGGTAGCATCAGCCCCCCAGCAACCCAAATCCCTCCCAGTACCACCAGTGCCCCCAGCACCCCTTGCTGCACTGGGTAACCAAACCCCATTGCCTCTCCGTAAGGTGTTTTTTGGGTGCTCGCGGCCGCGCAGGGTAACGGCACGCAGAGCCCCCGGCCCCCCTGCCCCGTGCCTCCCCAGCCCCCGCGCAGCCCCCATTAGCATCCCTGCGCGCTCGGCCCCCTGCCCAGCCTTGAACTTGGCCATGCCGGGCTGCGCTCCTTCTGCCTGCCTGGGCTCGCACAATGCCGGCCTTGACCCATTGTTTGCTTTTTTTCGGATTTCAGCTGGGAAAGCGGCCACCTCGCGCAGCCTGCCCCGAGCATGCTGGGAGCCGGGCACAATGGGGAACCCTGCTCTGCAGGCAGAAGGGCTCCAAATCATTTGAGAGACATATTCATTATACCCTTTCACGGGGGTCTGTTTGCATTGGGTTTAGCGGTTACTTCCCAGACGGGGTTCAGACCAAATAAAGATCATTTAGCGGCGAGGGATTCGCTCAGGCTTTCAGGGAAATGTGCCTGATGCGGGGCACGGCGCAGCCTGGCCGCTTGGCTCTCGGCTGCTCCTGCTCCCCTGCTGATTTGCCTGGGTTTATTTTGTGCCCGTTGCCTCCTCCATCACGAGACTGCACCAGATCACACAGCTCACTTTTGCAAAAAGGGAGAGTTTATTTTCAACAGTGCATGGGGTGGGGGGATTTTAATGGGAGAGAATTACAGCCAGTACGTTTCTCTTACAGGAACAGAGAGGGTGCAGTAAAACAGCAGTCGGGCTGCCTGGCCCGGACAGACTGACAGTGCCCTGGGCCCCGAGCACAGCACCGTCGGGATGGCTGCACTCCTGCAGCTCCGCACACCCAGGGATGAAGAGCAGCAAGGGCTGAGCTCTGCTCCATGAGCAAAGCCTGGTGGTAAAAGCTCCCTCCAACCTTTGGGCACCCAGTTATTTTGCCAGGTGAGACGGTGGTTTGCTCAGATCCCTCTGCCTAAGCACTGTGGTCCTGCTCCAGGGTATTTTGGGCACCAAAGACAACGTACAGGAGTGGTGTGGGATGATCCCCTGGCTCCCTGTGTTGCCCTGGCTGCCTCCCCACAGCTGGACGGGCATGAATTGAAGTAATGCAGAAACCCTCTGTGTTCATGAGCCAAAGACACCTTCTCTCTGGGGCCACTGGAGAAGCAGGTCAGGACCCTCCTGGAGAAACCTGGAGACGTCAGATGGCAAGTCTGGGCAGGTGGCATCCAACTGCAAGAAGGAACTCACGGGCTTGAAAAGTCCTTTCTCCACTCACTGGGATCTAGGAAGGAAAGGAAAAAAATGGAGCAGTTACAATCTCCAGCAGGGAAACGGTCCAGCAGTGCTCAGCTGAGAACAGACCAACTTGTCTCACCAATGGAGCGAAACTCCAACCCTCTTTCCTTTTTCAGCACAGGTTTCCCACGGCTCTGGTCCACCTCACCCGCTTCCCGACCGGCAGAGCCGCTGGTCCCCAGGACACCGAGCTCCTCCTGCATCCACCTCAGTCCCCTACCTCTCTCTTGCCCCGCACACCGCCAGCCAGGGGAGGGCTTGCCGCTTGTCCTTCCTCCCTAGGCTTTGGGGCATGGGATTACTCTGCATGTCAGAGCCACTAAAGGCACAGCCCTCTGATGTTTTAATCTTCGTGTTAACTTTCCCTGCCCTCGGCGCCCTTGCCTGGCTGGAGAAAGTGATACCAAGCCACCGAGCTGGAGCCGAAGCTGTGATGCTCAGCGCAAGTTCCCTTCCAGGCTTTGCCCGCAACTCCCGGGGTTTGCCCTACACATCTTGCTCCTTGCAGCATGTTCTTCTCCCTTTTTCCTGACGTTTTTTCTCCATTTCCTTTGCACTTTCTCCACTGTGAGTGCAGATCCCCTAGTACAGCCTCTGAAGCCAGTCCCATCCCTTTGCTGTTCTCCCTTTGCTTTGCCTATAAACTGTTAGGCTGAAGGAGTAAAGACTAATACAACTAATTCTTGAATACACTTGGATTCAGAGTGCAAAAGGAACCATCAGCTCACTAATTTATTCTTTTTATTGCACCAAATTGTAATTTTATAAAATATTGCAAATTTTATAAAATATTTGCAAGCCCATTTTAAGAGATAAATCTTCTGTGTGGCTCTCTAATGAGCCGCCCTGGGAGTAGCCGGCATGTGATCTGCTGTAGGTCGCACCGCGACGTTCCCGGGCTGCGACTGGATGAACCACCGTAACTCTTTGAACTGTGCAAATACTCTACACTCTGGGGTCCAGGCTGCAATTTTCATGGGTATTTTTTCTCTCTCTTAAAAATAGATCTTCTGTAACCCCTTTATTGCAATATTCATAAAGCACTTGATGGAAATCCAAGGAAAATCCCTTCCCTTTCGCAACTTTGAAGCAAGCCTAAAACTTCAGAGAGGCAGAAGCCAAACGCACCCCACATGCATGGGTTTGGGGAAGGACCACAATCTGTCTGGGGAGAATTAGGGTGCTGAGAGGACAGACCGCATGTTGGCATGTGTGTAGGGAAACCCAGGCTGGAAGAAGCCAAAGCTCAGCACTGCTTTAGCCTATGTGACATTAGCACCCCCAGTGTCCCCCCCCAAGGCTGGCGAGGATGTTGAAGTCAGGGCAGATGAGATCTGAATGGCGGTGGGTGCTTTCCCAAGCCCAGGAGAGGAGGAGGAGGCTGAACCCTGGTGCTTGCCAGGGAAAACACTTGCAGGGTAAAGAGTCCTGCCCTGGGCAGTGACAGCCCCTGCCCTCCGCCTGGGCAGGCTGAGCTTGCCGTGACCTACAGAGAAACTCATCCATGGTGCAGAGAGAGAGGATGCTTATTGGTATGAGACATTGACCCATTCTGGAAATGATGCTCTGCCTGGTGGGTTTGCACCTTCTGGCACTTAGTAACTGGAGGCAGGAGGGGCTGGACTGACCCAGCTGATTTGACATAAGCTTCAGGAAAGTCCAAACCTCCAGCCCATGCTTTCTCTGTGGGCAGACTTCAGCCTGGTATTGTGGGTGCCTGCAAAAATAGGGCTCCACCAGGACCCGATCCCAGACCAACACTGCCTTCCCTCCCCAGCACCTCAGCGCAGGGAAAGCATCCCGTAAAGTAGCATGTGGATTCATTATCCCTTTTTTTAAAAAAAAATGATGCATAAATAATTGCAATTACAGTTCAGCCTCTGCCCCAGGACTTGCTCCTGTACCTCCCTGTGCCCTAACAAAGCCAGCCCTGAGGTTTATACATTGACAAACTGCCCCGCCACGGCGATTTTAGGCTGTGAGAAGGGCAAAAATACCCCTCAAATAATGGCAAATGGATGCAGGACACTCTGCCTAATCAGATTCCTATCCCCTATTGAGGCTGGGAAGGAGGGACCCCGCTCCTCCCCTGCCCTCAGCCCAGCCTCCGGTTCACCGGCTCACACGGAGAAACTTTCTGGACAATTTAATCTCGCCAGGGTGTTACTTAGAAAAACCTTTTTCACTGCCATTTTTTTTTTTTCCCTCCCTCCCCCCCTTTTTTTTTTTTTCCTTCCCTCCCAGCCTTGATTGAATTTTGCAAGCCCCTGATATCTTTCTTTTTTGTAGGGATGCACGCTGCTTATGCAAATACCAGCCTTTCATACCGCCTCCCTGGCTCAAGCCCTCCAACTTGAATGTGACCAAAAGCTGTGCTCTCCCCTGCTAACTCCTTAGCACAATTACACCTCCATTCTGCTCCAGGGGCCCAGGGAGGGGGAAAAAAGAAAAAAAAAAAAATCATTTTAAACTAATAACACGTGCTGTTTGCTTTGGATAATTACGAGGGAGCTTCGGCTTCTAAGAGCTATGAAATATTCTGTTCGGCGGGGCGGGAGGGAGGCTCCGTGTTACGCCTACGCTGCGAGTTTTATCTCCTGGCGGAGATGCTCGCAGGGCCTCTTGAGGCTCCCTCCATCTCGTGCTCGTCCTGTGCACCTGGGCAAGCATTTACATTTCCTATGGAGGAACTTCTCAGTGCTTTGGGCTATGGGAGAGAGAAGAAGGTGGCTGACATTTTTCTTATCTCAAGTTACAATTTCCTGCAAGCATCAAGATAATAAAACATCGGCGATGGGCAAGATGAGCAAAATGAATGCATCGGCTGGCTCTCCCGCGGCAGCGCGGGGAGGACCGGGGAGAAAGGACACCCGGGGGATGCGACTGCTCCGCTGGCTCTCGTTTGCATCGTGGCCCTGCCGTTATTGTCCTCCTGCCTTGTCTGCTGAGGAAGTTTATGTGGAGGGCTTTTGCCGGGGCGAGGAGGAGGGGAGTTTTCCCCAAAAGCACCCAGGAATCTGTCAAAAGAGGGACAGAAAAGAGAAGAAGAAGAAGAAGGGAGACAGAGAGTGGGAACGTCAAGGACCCCTGACTAATGAATAGCAAGTTTGCCCTTGAACCTCCCTGGGCTTTGCCATTCCCAGGCTCCAAACAAGGGCTGATGCATGCTTGGGCCCAGCTGCAGGGGGACCGGGCTATGGTTCATCTCAGACACTTTGACAGCCCGGGCCTTTTCCCCGCATAGCTCAGACTCGCCTAACTACTCCCCTGGCAACAGCTCAGTGCAGGAACCTGTGCTGAGGCCCTGCCTGCTGCATACAGAAGTGCGAGGAGGAGGGGAGCTGCTGGGAGAAATTAGCTGGAGACCGGCTTAACCCATCAAATGCTGGGCAGGCATCACCAGCCCCAGCACCCTTCGCTTGGTCCCCGGCTCGGCTGGCCGGGTGCTCGCCAGCAAGCATCCGCAGCAGAGCAGGAGAGGGGCAGTGGTGGGTTAGACGTGCCAAGTCACTGTGTATCCCAAATCCCCTGACCTGCCGCTTCGCCAAGACCTTGGACCTGGTGGGGCCAAAAGGTCCTCATGGTGCCAAGGGTGTAGGAGGGAGCCGAAATAGCTGGCTGGAAAAGACCACTGGACACTGAGCGGGAAGGACATGGCCTCTCCCCTGTGCGTCGGGGACAGGGCATCCCTCTCTGCCAGCCAAAATGAGGGCTTGGGCCAGACCACAGAGGCACAAACTTGCCCCAGCCGCTCTTTCTGCATTGCAGATCAAAGGCAGGGGACGAGCTGGCCTTAGGGGTCTGCGCTGAATGGCTGGAGAGAACAGGCACGAGCACCCGGCGGCTCCAAAGCGCGACCCAGAAACGTTCCCACATCCCAGCCCCATATAAATCAAGGGGGAAAAAGGAGGGGGGGGGGGGGGGCTCCATCCCAGCCTCTGTTTTTACAGAGCATCTTTCATGTGTAGCCCCTGAGAGAGGGGGCTTTGCTGAGCTTGTTAAGGACGGCTCCTGCGCCAGGCAGAGAGGGGGACGCACCATATGGAGAGGAGAAAAAGAAAAGGGGACACTGAAAATGGAAAATTATGCAAAGCAGGAGGAGAGGCGCTGGGGGAAAGGGGGGAGGGAGGCAGCGAGGTGGTGGGGGATGGGGAGAGGGGAGGCTAGGAAGGGAGCCCTGACTCGGGGGACACCAGCGAGCTGGCATGGGGGCAGCAGGAGGGACAGAAGTTTCCTGTGACTGGGTGCAGAACAGCCCTTGGCACCCTTGGGTGCTGTCACTGGCGGGCAGCTCTCCAGCCCGGCCTTCTCCGAGCGGGTCTGGGCTGTGCCAGGGCGATGCCCGGCTGGGCCGCAGTGGGTGCACCCTGCATCCGGAGCCGTGTCGCGCCAGGAGATGCAGCAAAACGGGGCTCACAGTGACCTACTTCAGAGGTGTCCTCAGGACCTCTGTTACTATGGCAATGAGGTTGCGAGCAAACATTACGGGCTTTTTTGGTCAAGGTTTTTGCTTTTAATCAATCACAAAAACCGGACTCACGTGCTGAGGTGCTGGGGGTCTTGTGAGAGATGGCCCTGAACAACAGCAATGATAGCAAGGGCCTGAATCGCCCCTGGGTCTCAGCCGCCTGCGCGGTGGTGCTGAACACTCAGGTGAGTTAAGGAGCATCCAAATGCAGCTGCCAGAGCTCTTCCCTTCCCCTTGATCCCTGAGGGAGCCCTTGGTCCCCACAGGGCCCTGGGGCTGCAGGGTGGGCTGCAGCCCCGGCGTGGCTCAAGGATGCTGTTCATGCCCAGGAGGGAGAATGAACTTTCCAGCCCCTTGCCTGTGTTATTGCCCAGCCTATGCTCAAACTCCAGCATCTGGCCTGACGTGGTGTTTGGAGAAATGACTTGGCTCTTCCCAACCCAGCTGTGGAGCACCTTCTCTCTCTCCTGGAAACCCTGGTCACATCTCAGCATCTGGGCTCAGTTCACCTTTGGGAA